GGGGGCGGGGGATGGGCGGGCCTGATCCTACAGCGTTTTGCTTGCCATGGTAAGGACATCAGAGAGTGTTCCTCACACCATTCTCTCAGTGGATCCCGCCTTAACTGCCCTCGGCCCTAACTGCCACTCATGCTGAAAAGACCACTCACCAAGAATGTAGAGTTCACCATCCAGGGACACTGTGGGGAGGGAAATGAAAATGGCTTTAGCAACTGAGCACTCCAGCCCCTACCAGGGCAGAAATGACCCGGGGGCCCAGAGGAGAGGGACTCACACCACCCAGCCCCTGTGGCACCTTCTTCCAGCGTGAAATCCCGTGAGACCGGCACTATCTGGTCCAAAGAGACATCGTCCCCGGTAATGGCCATCCTCCGGTGCGTGTACAGGAAGAGACTAAGGGCAGGAAGCAGAGGTGAAGACAGGGCCCACCGGCCGCCCCTCAGGCTCATCGTGGAGGCCTTGGCCAAGTGCTCACACTCCCTCCTTGGTCCCTAGGATCGTGCTGGTGGTGCCCTGCTCTGCACAATCCTTGTGCCTTCTCTGTCCACGGTGCCCATCAGAGACTGCCGTTCTACAGATAGGTCATCAAAGCTGAACTTGGCTCATTTTGGGGTGCCTCTGCTTTGTCAGTGAAACACATGTGTGATCTATCTGTAGCGTGTGACAGCAACACCATAACCTCAGCCACCCCTTCCCTCTCTGACCACAGTTTTGCTATCTGTAAAGTCAGGGTGGTAGGTTAGAAAATGTCGAGTGCCCCTCCCCCATCCCCTCAGCTCTGAGATCCTGAGGTTCACTTTTTGGCTCTGAGACCTTCGACAAGCATTTGTCAGTCTCTCTCCTTCTGTGTAATATGTGGGCATCGCTGGCAACATGTATTGGGTACAGGGGGAGTAAAACAACTCGCTCACGATCACGTGGGTCAGAGGCAATGATGCCTGGATTTGAACCCAGGCAGACAGGCCATGCAACTCAAGATCTGGACCAGAACATTCAGCTGTCTCTGTTTGACAAGTTTCTGCAACAGATTTTGAGGATTAAGTGAGCCCAATACACAGGAAGGGCTTAGAATACAGTGTTCAAAACATATGAGTGATCATTATTCTAATTAATCTAGAAGACTTGGGCTCTGCCCCAGAGGGATGGCTGAAGCCCAGCTGGAGGATACAGTGAAGAATAACCCCATGGCCCAACAGGCAAGGACCAAACCCCTCACTCACGCGTGTTCCTGACCACCATGTTTCAGGCGGTGGCGCACGAGTCCCAGGAGACGGCTCTGCCTGCTGTCTCCCTCACACAGCACACCTTGAACTGCCTGCTGCTTGGGGTCAAGGAAAAACCAAAACGAAACCGGAGGCCAGGCCTCTGCCAACCCAGCCCAGCCCACCTTCCCTGCCCTTCCCTTGCTCACCCAGATGCACTGTGTGACCTTAGGCAAGTCACTTCACCTCTCTGACCCTTCCTTATCTGTGAAATGGGGATAATAACCCCCAACGTCACAGCGGGTTGGGAGGATGACAGAGTATTTAAAGCACCGGGAGGAGTCCGATACTGAGCAAGCACGTAGTAAATACTAGCTTCCTTCTTTCCCGAAGGCACAGAGCAAGGGAGGAAAGCAGACAGGCACATAGACACGGTCCGGTCCACCTCCCAGAGTGAGGGCAGGCGCCGGGGCTGGGAGCTCAGTGCTGGCAAGGATATGATGATGCAATATTCCCCCTCAGCCAGAGTCTCCTGGATAGCCACAGACTGGTCCATGCTGGTCCCTGCTGAGCAGACACGCCCTGGGGAGAGGGCAGATGGGAGCCCCCTTAGGTCAACAAGTTACTCAGAAGGTGATGGAGCTGCCTCAGAGGGCTGAGGGGCAGGGAGGAGAGCCCTTGTACAGAGAGAAGTTAGAGGAGGCCTGACCCTCCCCTTCCTCCTCCTTAGATGGGCCCTTTAGTTTCTAGGGAGAGGGGCCATCCCTTTGCCCCTGGTGGGATGTACAGTTTGTTGCACCACCCTTTGGAAGGGCGGCCGGTTGTTTCTGAACGGGGTCTGGTCTATTTGTTGGAAGGCGGGTGCCTTGTCCCACTACTGGAGAGGGAGGCATGGTCCCACGGCTCCCGGGATAGGGCTCTGCCTCCCTTTTGGGGGAGCAGTATTAGCCCTGCTGGCACCTCTTTGGAGGGTGTCGGTGGTGCGTCTGCATGGATTTGGGGGGAAATGTCCTGTTCTTGGGAAGGGAAGGGAAGGGAAGGGAAGGGAAGGGAAGGGAAGGGAAGGGAAGGGAAGGGAAGGGAAGGGAAAGGAAGGGAAGGGAAGGGAAGGCAAGGGAGGGCCTCATCCTGGACAAGGACCCCAGTCCCGTTCCTCTTTCCCTAGAGACAGGAAAACACATCACATTGCTCTTTGGCCCTCATCCCCGCCCAGCAGGCCTGATTGCATCAGCCACAAGCCAGGGGGTGTCCGGTTTTGACAGCTGCAGGACCAGGGTCTCAGCCCTCAGTCTGACCACTCCCGCCTGCCCAGCCTGGCCCTGGCTTCCCTGCTCCGCACCTGCTCCCAGCCCCCTGCCACTGCCGCCTACCTCCTGAGCTGTCACCGCTGAGGACCTGAGGACGTAGGACACCGTGGCCCTGGCCGGCTAGTGACTACGTTTCCCAGGAGCCTGTGCGCCACACGCTGGTCAGCCAGCCTGCAAGTCCCAGCATGCCCGCACCAATCACGGGGGCGCTGGGGGGCTCGCCGCCTCCATTAACTCCTTAGGTCCTGGGGTACTCTGAGCTCCCCCCTCCTGATGACTGCTCTAACCGTCACCCCAGCCCTCCAAGTCATGGGGTCAGAGTTCCCCGCCTAGCATCCTGAAGGAAGATGGCTATGTCTGCCTTACGGGGAAAAAAATAATGCATTTTCATTTTCTCCTCTATTCCAGCCTCAACTCCTTTCATCCAGGCTGGCCCGCTCTGGCCTCTACTGGAACTCTTTCTCCCCAGATAACTACACTGACAACTTTGGGGTCCTCCCATTCAGTGGGGGGTCAGGAGGGAAGTTCTGTTTTTCCAGATGAACGCTAGCCTCTCCTTGGGATTAGTGCTGAAGCCCTGCCCCCTTGGAGGGCACCAAGTTCAGGCTGAGGCCCTGGGAAGGAGAAGTGAGGATCCTGGAGCCCATGCCATGGACCTGATAAATCCCTCTCACTAAAGATACAGCTGTAGGAGTCAGAGCTGGGGGTGGGACTGGGGGCTTGCAGGGCCTCCAGAGTCTCCCTAGATGCTGCTCCCCAGTTCTTCTGGGCCCAGCTAGGGGAGCAGGAAGGGAGCAGGGCAGAGTGGAGGAACAGCAGCATGGTCACAGCCGTGGCCCCGTGGAGGGGCCCTCCTAGTGACCCTTGTGGCAACCCGGTTGGAGTGAAGATTCCCATCCAGCTGGAGAAGCTGAGGTTTGGCAGGACTCCTGGTAGCAGGGCTGAGCCACTGTCCCGCGACAGCCAGGGGTCCCTGCCACGTAGGCCTGCAACAAAGCCTGAGCTGGACCAGTTCAGCTGCAAGAAGAAATGGGACCATTCATACTCTGCTTGCCCCTCCCCTGCCACTCACCGAGGCAGGAAGTGTAAAGTGGGCCATGGGCTGAGCTGAACCTCCCTGGACCCCCAGCTCCCTCTCCACGAGCTCAGCCGGTCAGTCCCCAGAGAACATACGGGGTGATCAGAAACGAGGAAGCATGTCATGGAGACTTGGAAGATCCCAGCTGCCACCCTGGATCTGGTATGATGTAGAGCTGAGAGGGTCAAGCATGCTGGGCCCCAGGCAGCCGGGCTCCGGCCAGGTCTAGCTCTGGCCAGTTTTGGCTGCTTGACCCACTGTGCCCCAGCGGGAGATGAAAGGCCTGTAGTTCTGAGGAAGGACAGCACTCCAAGGGCCCACCTCACAGGAGTCCCAGCCCTCAGGGCACAGCTTCCTGCCCTCTGAAGCAGTCACCACCTTGGCAGGAGAAGGTCGCACAGATTTTCCCCTGTAAGAGAAAGTGGAGGGAAGGCTGAGGGGCGGGCAGCTCTGCTCAGACTGGATGTAGAGCAAACGCTGGATGGAGGCAGGGCTGAAGCCCCATGTGGCTGTCCCACTGCCCCCAGCCCTGTTCCTGCTTCTGCCTTCCGGAGCAGGCAGGTGGGAAGCAGACACTCACGTTTCCCTTGGGGGCTGGCTCCTTGGTGGTCACCAGGAGCTAAGTGGGAAGCAGCTAGTCCTCTGCTACGTCAGGTGGCCTAGGCCTGGGAGCAGAGCAGGGCTGCCTGGGGAAGTGCTGTGACACTCCGCTGCAGGGTGGGGTGGGGGGAGGTAACCCCTCTGCAGAGTCCCAGCCCCCATCCCAGAAAGGGCTTTGTGTGTGGGGACAGTCACGACCTGAAACTGCGACAGTGCTGCCACCCGGGACAAGCAGAGGAGCTTTGCTGGGCCTCCACGGAGACTGGAGAAAGGGGAGAGGTGGTAGGGAGAAGGGGGAAGGGAGAACTGGGAGGGGGAGGCTGGTGGGGTTGGGGCACCGAAGGTACAAAGCTCAGACTCAGGGAGTGATGAGGAGGGTGGATCTCAAACATAAGGGTCAGCCTGACAAGGTAGAGAGGTTAGGGTGTGGCTAGAGGCTGAGGGTTGGTAAAAACTGAGCTCAGATTTGAGGGCCTTCCAAAGAGTGGGGTTCACAAGGGATACAGGAGTGCTGATCCATAGGGGCACTTGTACCCCCATGTTTATAGCAGCACTTTCAACAATAGCCAAATTATGGAAAGAGCCTAAATGGCCATCAACGGATGAATGGATAAAGAAGATGTGGTTTATATATACAATGGAATACTACTTGGCAATGAGAAAGAATGAAATCTGGCCATTTGTAGCAACGTGGATGGAACTGGAGGGTATTATGCTAAGTGAAATAAGTCAGGCAGAGAAAGACAGGTACCATATGTTTTCACTCATATGTGTATCCTGAGAAACTCAACAGAAGACCAGGGGGGAGGGGAAGGGGGAAAAAAATTACAGAGAGGGAGGGAGGCAGACTATAAAAGATTCCTAAATACTGAGAACAAACTAAGGATTGATGGGGGGGGTGGGGGGAGAGGGGAAAGTGGGTGATGGGCATTGAGGAGGGCACCTGTTGGGGTGAGCACTGGGTGTTGTATGGAAACCAATTTGACAATAAATTACATATAAAAAAAACTCAACAACTAAGAGTGGGGTTCAGAGTTGGGTGTTAGTGGGTGGGCAAGGCTCAGGGCTGGGGAGTGGCGGGGTGGGGCTCACAGCTCACCGGGGCAATGGGAGAAGCCAGAGCAGGGGCCATGGAGGAGGGGCTCTGGCCCCAGGCTGGCAGGGCTGCTCACCAGAGCCCAGTTCATTTAGGGCCCAGCAGAGTGAGCCGCCACTGCAGCACTGAGGACAGCGGGGGCCTGGGCTGGGACTGGTTTCATCTCCCCTGGGCCATGTAGCAGGAAGCACCGAGTTGAATCAGCTGGAAGAAGAGCATGCCGGGAGTCCAGGAGGAGCGGGGACAGCCAGTCCTGGGCCAGGCTCAGCCCCCTGCCCCAATCCCAACCAGCGGCTCCTTTCCCTCCTGCTCGGCATCTCTCTCGCAGCAGCTTACTGCATGCAGTGTAAGCAACCCTCCCTCCTCCCGCAGCAGCCCCATCCCATGCCTCACCTCACGGTGGTGTTCCCCAGGCCTCCGGGTAGCACATCTCTCAGAAGCAGTAGGAGCTGTGTCATATCTGCAGACAGCTTGGAACACTGTGGCTCCTTTCCCATGGGGTGAAGGCACCAGGGGGCTCTCTCCTCCTTCGTGTGCTGCTCACCTGGACAGGAGCAGGGGTCAACTGACTGCTCGCCAGATTCTGGGCGACCAGTAAGACCAGCAGAAGGACTGGTAGGAGGAAAAGGAGAGAGGGACCACTGCAGGGAGCAACCAGCTCAAGGGTCACAGGTCAAGGAAAGGTCAAGTGAAAGAGGTCGTGAGGTCAGGGAAGAGAAGGGACAGTCCCAGGGTCCAGCAACGGTCATGAGTTAGGGATGGTCACAGAGTCCAGGAAGGGCTGGGGTCCCTGGGCTGGGACAGCTACCTCTGAGCAAAGCAACTCCATGACTACTGTTGGCCACAGATATCTTCTACTGAGGTCCTGCAGGGGCCAGAGAGAGTGAAGGATCCAGTTGAGGACTGCAAAGAGAGATCCCCATCATTGCCTTCCGCAGGTGAATAAACTGAGGCTGGGGAGCAGGAGAGGTCAACCTCTACGGAGAAAGGGACCAAGGGGCTGAATTTTTGCTTCTCGTAAGCCCTACAGTCAGAGTGACACTAAGGCAAGCACAAAGGGGCCTGGAGCCTAGTAACAGCCCCTCTGAGAGCGAATGTTGTTGTCAGCATGGCAACAGCAGCATCCTAGGCCCAAGGGGAGACAGAACCGGAGCAGGTGCAGTGACAGGGAAGAGACATCTGGTGACTCTGATCGGGCTTCATTTGTGTCCAACATCAGAAGGTGCTGGGGGGAGATGGGCTTTCTCAGAACCCAGGGCAGAGAAACCCCAGGTCACAGAGAGGGCCCCAAATCAGGGCACACCTTGTCCGGGTTCTTCAGGGTTCGGATCCCACCCTGTTTCTAAACCAGATCTGGGCCAAGGGCAGGAGGTAGGTCTTAGACACTGGAGATCTGGATCCTGGCTCTGCTTCCCCCAGTACTGAAAGATTAGACCTGGAAGAGTGTGCTAAGCCCAGTTCGGGTGTTTGCATGC